TTTTAGGTACCAGGGAGATGACAATCCAACTGGTGGACATCCTGTTACTCAAAAGCTATGTCTGCATCAATTTCACACTCACTGCAGAAAAGGGAAAGGTGAGAGACCTCTTCAAATCTGGCAATGCAACAAAGCTTCTGGGATGTCAACCTAAAGTGCTGGCAACACACAGATTATCAAACTAATTTTGAGTTCTAGGAGAACTTCCAGACTGACAGATGTAACCTTAGCTACAAATCAGTCACTGTGGTAGAGTAAACTAAAAATACAGAGTAACTAGAAACAAGATCTTGTCTTTTGGAAACTGTGAATTGTCAGAATTTATTTTAATTTCTCTCTAGCATGAGAATAACACTAAAAAATTAACCAAATAGAAAAAACTGTGAAATTAAAACTTAGGCTCTCCCTGAATTTCAATATGATTTTGGACCTGCTTAGCAGGAAGTAAACTGCAAGTATTTTAGCAGATTAGAAATATCATTTTAGATCCAGAATAAAAACTAAAACTGATCAAACAACAACAAACCCTTACATTTTTTAAAAAGGGTATGTTGAGAACTGTGTAATCCTGGGAGTTTTTTGTTTGTTCTTTTGTTGTTATTTTTGTGCTTGGATTTCTTATGTGTATGCAATTGCCATTTTTAGTAGTCAAGAAGAGAGAATTCTTAAACACAATAGTGATTTACGGTCATTATTATACAGGTTTTCATGATACACAGAAACGGGAAATGTGTCTGTTCATTTATGAGGTATTTTAGAATTGACATTAAAAAGATACCTTGAAGTTGGCAAAGAAAGATGTTCCTCCAGAATATGTGAAATTTGGCCTAGTGTGCTAATTTCCCTTTCTTTCTGAGTCAGAGATCCAGAATGTCCTCCCCTCTGCTGCATATTGTTCTACACATTTCTCCCAGGGAAGCTAACAGTAGTTTTATCCATCTACCCACTGTTAGCATAACACTTATATTTTGCTAACAGTTTGTTGATTTTTCTTATTGTCAGTAAAATAAAATTGTAACATAGCAACAAATACTATTGTATAGAGACCTACATAAAAACAGATAAAATATTAAATAACTTTTTTTTTAACCAATGCCATATGCATTTAAATGCTGTAACCCATGAGCCTTTATTCCCATCTGTATTCCTTAGAAGACAGTTAACATTTTTCACCCCTTTCTAACAGAAGTAGAAAGAAAACCATACCTATTCTTTAAAGCACTTACATATCTGCTTCCTTTTAAGCTTTGGTTTAGCATATTGGGGTATTCAAAGGGGTAGAATGGTACTTAGGGTGATTTTCTGAAACATAAGAGTATTGTCTCTCAGGAAGATACTAATGAGCATCAATTTCAATTTTTAGCTGTGTAAATATGTCAGAAGATCCTCTGCATACTGTAAAATACTTTGATGCTCTTATATATTTCCAGATTCACACTTCTGTGAGCAGTCAACTGTATCAAGATCTGTGTCTCTGATTGCAAAGTCTGGGTGAGACCAATAACTCCAAGGCATGTGAATTACCCAGACTCACATGAACAATTCTGTTGAAAGCAACAAAAATGAAACAAATGCCCTAAGGCAAAAAACCAAGAATAAAGTCCTCCTGCCATCAGAGGCATTCTGGGAAAACATATTTTCTTACCAATGTCTTTATAGCACTAAAATTTGTCTATCAGTTTAAAACAAATTTTACTTCTGTTTTGCTGTATGCCTTTAGTAGATGACTGCCCAAAGCACTTGTGCCTGATCAATACCTGAATTTCTCCAAAAACATTGCTTTTTTTTCAAGCAGCATTCTTCAGCTCTGAACAGTAAATCATTTCCCCTCATTTTTCCATCAAATTAAAACATTTTTATCACAAATTTTCTTTCTGCTAGAAAGGAATGAGTGATTTATTTCAGTTTGCTGTTATCCTTGAAGTCTGGTGATAGCAGCACTGCTCTTAGTGCCAGTGGTCTTTCATAAAATTAGTAGCTGGTAATCCTTCTTATGCTTTGCTATTTACATGTGCCAAGTGCTGCACTCTGGAGCACACCAGGCTTCCATTGCAGTGAAAATCTCTCATAAATTATTCCATCAGTTTTATTTTCTGAGAAAGTTATTCAACTTTGTCCCATTCATTGCAAAGTTTGTAGTGGCCAGATTATATAAAAAGTACATGCTGAATAGATACCCTGCAGGAAAAAAAAAAAAAGTTTTCTTGAGAATAATATATAAAAAAGAAAACAAAAAACAACAAACAAAACCATGCAGTAAGAAACAATATTTAAAGAAGGTTTTATTACTAAATAGTGAAGAAATTTGTTGTTTTATCTTTTGGAATTCGGAAATCAGCTTCCACTCTTTCCATTATTCTCATAACAATTTTCTGTCTCTGTGAAGTTTTTCAATGGGAGAGCTGTCTATAATTGATCGGTCTTTTTAACAGGAACATGAAATGCCTACAGAATTTTTTTACTTCAGGGCTATTAGTCTACTATGGAGAAATCCCTTCTCACAGTCCAAAATGCATATGCTGGCAAACAAAACTTTGCTGTTGGATCAGAAAAGATGTGCAGATATCAGATTACCATATGGGGAAAATGAGAAGATGAACTGTTAGCATGGGAGAAATTCTGCTAATGCTCGTCTTAGTTCTGTGAGCTTACTTGGCAATAGTATAAGCATATCCAGAAGAACCTTCAGGCAAATCCCCACTTGTGGACAAGTAAGGAATTCTACCAGCTGAGCAAACTGTAGGTAAGTGAAGTACAGACTGACTGAGGCGTGTGCACATGAGCAGCCATGTAACCCAGAGGGGATTTTCTCACCTGATGCCCTCACTGAATCTCTGCTCAAGTTGCCCCTTTCCTTGGATTTGCCATTTATGCTGCCTTGGAAACAGAAAAGAAGCTGTAAAGTGCAATACCAACTTTGTCCTTTGCTGTTGTTTCTGCCTTTACATCCATCTGGTTCTCAGAAACAACCTAATACTCTCACATTCCTGGAAGTGAACGGATCCATCTGTTTGATAAGAGGGTGAGTCAGCACGAGAGCTCAGTATCTGCATGAAGGACCCTTAGAAATTGATATGAAAAAAACCAGATCATGTTTGCAAATTACATTACATTTCAATATTATAACAGAGAAAAATGTCTTCATTTCTTTCAAACATTCATCTAATACATTTTTATGCTGATAATTTTGGTTTTACTTTGCACTTCTGAAATGAATTCTGCCCCCAGATATCATTTGATGTATATGACATTTTCCTTTAAATCTCATATGGATGTACCTCGGAGATACTGATTTTTTACATTGAATCAGTTTAAGCATTTAAAAAGTTTCACTGAACCCTGGAAAATATATTTTTTTTTCCTTTGCATTGGATGTAGTTTGCAATACTACAATACTAGCAAATACTAGTTCTCCTCCATAAGAGGAAAAGCATCAGTGTTAAAATCTGACAGGGAGAATCATCAAGAAAAGGGACACAACTTTCACAATCACTAAAGTTCATCAGTTCTAGAAGATTCTAAGCCAGCTCTAAGACAACTTCATTGGATAAAGGCACAGAGAGAGCTTTGGTGCTCTTTCTGGCAGGTGAGTACCACCTATGATTTTACAGCAGCAGATATCTCAGCTGTATCCACTTTACTTCACAGTGGAGAGAAATTACATTACTCTTGTCTGAGACCAAAAAGACCTGAAATATGCAATTCTGTGTAAACCATGCAGTAGGTTATTTTGTATCATTAGCATCTGGCTGGATTTCCTTCTCAGCTCTTTATCTACTTATTTCCACTATTTATGTTCTGCTGTTCTCTGTCCACATCTGACAAAATAAGTTAATTTTGGCTAGTGAATGCAGAGATAGGTGCCAAACTATGAATCTTCTATTAAATGGTATTGCCAGCATGACTGGTTCCTGTTGGGGGTCTCTGTGTGAATTTGAATTTCCAAAGCTTGTCCATGACTTTGCCTTCCTACCATACAGTCTCTTAGCTGAACTAATCTACTCTAGTTCAGCTTTCAAGCACTCTTGATAGAAAGCCATTTATCTGTGAGTGGGATATCTCCTAATGGCTCAGCTCCACACAACTTTTTAAATAGACTTTTATTTATCCCTTTAAGAAACAGTGGTCTAAATTAAAGGTTTACTTCACTGATGGTCTGATCCAATGCAGGGAAATTGCCAAGTTCATTTAGATCTCTTGTCAAACAATTAGTCTTTAAATAATTTACCCCAAGACAGAAAACTCCACTTCCAGAACCAGGAATATTTTTCTTGAAGGCATTTGCTCCCTGCGTGATGGTTGCTGCAACTCTTCACTCCTCTCCTCTTGACATGTGCCCCCACATGCAACACATTTCTTTGAAGCACTGGATAGAACAGAAACTGGCAAGAACAAGCATGGCTGGAATAGACTGGTCAAACCAGGAGAAAGCACTAGGAAGCAGCAAAGTGTCTAAACCATTTTTCCTTTTATCCCCATTAGAGAGCTGACACTGTTTATATGCTCTAGCCAGATACAGTAAAACTCATTTGGTTATTTTTATCATGGGAAATGTGTATTTAGTGCCAATTTAATGCCATTTAGGGTGGTATTTAATATTCTACTCAACCTGACAGTGTTGTAATGTCATTCTAAAGTAACTGTACTTATAGACTGGACAGTTAAGGAGATAGCAAACCAGTTTCAATTGCTGGGTCTACACATAATGTCTGGGGTAAACAACAGCCCATTTATTGCCAGCAAGACACTTTCTTTCTTTTTTTCCCATGGAAGACAAAACTGCAATGTTTACAGGGAAGATGCAGGAGTCTGATGAGAAAAACTGCATAGGAAGAGCTGCACACCACAGTGTTAAGCTTTGGATGTCAAACTGTGACCATAAGAAACCATTCCTAGAAACAAATTAGTCCTTCTACCTACAAGCTTACACAAAATGAATCAGAGCTACATTTGTTGTACTTTCAAATACTTTTTCAGACACAGCATGTTTCTTTTTCAAGTTTTCAGATGCACAACCTGGTCCTTTGTGTGCTGCTCTCGTGGTGTGATTTGCTCCAGGTTTGTGCCTCAAGCTCCATTTCTCTGTCCATGGGTGCATGGCCTCACTACAGATTTCAAAGGTACACTTTTTTTTTCTCTCTCAAATATGAATAACATCACCTTGGAATGCCAAGGTTTAATTTTCACTCATTCAAATAGTTTTCTATTCATGATTATTTTGTGTGTTTGCTGGGGGTTTTTTTGTTCTTTTTTTTTTTTTTTTTTTTTTTTTTTGTGTTTTTTTTTTTTTTTTTTTTTTTTTTTTTTTTTTTTTTCTGGAGGCAAATAGATGAAAATTGCAATAATTGCATGTATATATTTCTATATGAGTGTACATGTATGTGTATATGTACACATATCTATATATTTATGAGCCAGAAAGCAGTGGGAGATTAGGGATTGTGCTTTGTGACTGTGAAACTGACACTTTTATGATTAATAAGTCTTGGGACACATTGTACTCTGGGAAAGAGAGAAAAAGAAGACTCGTGTTAATACCTTGATAATGGACTGCTTACAGGTGAAAAACCAAGGACTTTTAAAATGAAAGGATTGGAATATTTAGGGTTTTTTGTTTTCCTACAATGTGTTTCCAAGAGCTTGAAAAGTCTGGGTAAACACCATCCACACACAAATTCCTGTGATATTTGACTCATGCAGTCAGGACTCTGTTCCAGTCCAGTCCAATGCAGTCACTGTTTTGCCTGATAATTCCTGTACAAGCCATGTGCCTGGTACACTAATGGGGAAACTGTCCAAACTGGGAATAGATGAGTGCCAGTCAAATGCAGATAATTAATGTCACAGAGAATGAAACAGAGATTAACAAAATCAGTTGGTTGGATCCTGTCCTAGTGTTTACTAATGACAAAGGCTTTGCTGCATCTTGGACATTTTATTTCATTTTATTTTTCCCCAGAAAAATCTCATTCTCCAGGTTGTTTTTTACCACCTTCTAAGATGGCCTTATACAAAAACTTCATACAGATTAGAGCTGTGTGATCCTCTGTCTTCCTGATTTGTTTGGACGGATCCTTCAACATTTATGTCATCAGTATGGATTTTTATGTTATGGTTTAGGTTGGCTTCTTTTCTACCAGTGTTTCTTCTTTAAATGTGACAGGACACCAGAAAGCTATATGCGCTCTGAGATAGAGAATAAAACATGTGCATTATTTATTTATTTATTGTAATTTTAAAAATTTTATTTTGACATTTGACACTCTCTTCTTTCCAGACATGGGCTCCTGTTCAGTTCAAGAAAATTCTGACGGTCAGAAAGGGTACTTAAGCATGTGTTTAACATTAGCACATCATTAATTCCTTTGGGCATTCAAAATTCAATGTATGTTTAAATATCTTCCTGCTCAGGACATTAAATTTTTCTTTTAATTTTGATTTCTGCAGCCAACCTTTGCCTGTACCCAAGGCATCCTTTGTGCTTATTTCCATACTACTCTTCAAATATTAGCATTTCTAGATTTACCCTGAGAGACATAAGCATATGAAGAAATGTTTATGAGAAATATATATGTGCTTATGAGAAACTAAGTAGGACAATTTTTATATTTCAGTGAATAGCATATATGACAACATGTTAAAGTTCTTTGTTTTAAAATATTGATTTATTTTTCTTATGAGATGAAAAAGATTTTTAACCTCATCCAAAAAATGCCTTTCTCATGCTCTCATTTCTCAGAAGGAAAATGACCCTGTGCAATTTGATACAATTTTTGCAAAATCACAGTAGTTACAGAAAGAGTTCAGTTTTGAATACTCAAAGGTTAGGATACATCCTGGAGTCACTGATAAAAGCCTCAGGAAAACCTTTGTTCAGATTATTTAACCAGAAAATATATTTTTAAATAGAGGTGCATAGTTTAAAAACACCATGACTGAAATCTCTTTCTAAGACAGACAGATGCCATGAGTGGGAGTCACTTGACCCCTGAAAGACCTAAACTGTAGATGTCTAAAAATAGGTGAAATAAATTAATTTTTATAGTCTACTGAAACAGATTTTAAGCATGCCAAATGTTAATAATTTCAACATAAACTGCCTAATAAAAGGAGATGTAACCCAGCCTGGACGTACTCAGGCTCTAAAAAGTATTACAGATACAAAAAAAATTAATTTCTGTGCCTTTTTTTTTTCATTTATTATTTTTGCATAATGGTGCTTTCCTATTCTGTTCAGTCAGCTATTACTTCAGTTTTGGGGTTCTGTTTACATGGCTTCCCCCTTGTCTATCTGCAGTAGTCATGTGGCTCCCTCTTTATTCAGTAGGACTGAGAGGCAGATCTGAGCTCTGGGGGTTCTTGTCTCTCTGATACACATTGAGGATACCATGATGTCTAACAGAAAAGATGCTCAACTTCTACCCCTTAGTGCCAAATAATATAGACTTAAGTAAATAATTAACTACTGTGAAGAATATCACAGGTAATAAACCTGTTTTTTAGCAGTTTTGGTATCTTTAGGTTTTTGCTTTCACTGCCTCAGTGTGAATTTGACCTTCCCTAACTAATTTTAAAGATCCCATAGGTTACACTAAACATTATGTGATCATAGTCTCTTGCCTGACAGCTGCTCTGCTGTGATTTAGAAATATTTCTCTGGTATACCTGGGTGTCTGGTGAATCTGAAATCGTGCACACTGCAAAACTAATGGCAGCAGTTTCTCTTCCTCACTCTCTGCTGGATGTCAGCCCAGGAGCAAACAGCAACATGTGCCAGGTTTCAGGAACATGTTCCCAAGTTCAGAAAATTCTCATACACCTGTCCATTGTTATTACAATTCACAATATGCACTTCTTCTTCCAGCTGTCCTCCACCATGCTGGCATGTGTTGCTCTGCACAGCAGATCTCTGTTATATTTTCAGTTACTGCAGTTGAAAGCACAACAGCAAAAGATTTATTTCACTGTTGTATGCCCTTATGGTTTACTCTGCTCTCTAAGAAACTAGGCACATTGCAATTGCCATTACTTGCCCACTGTACTCAGGGAGAGAAAAGAAGTGGATAATTCAGAAACATCTACTGAGTATGTCCTTGAGTTGACTGTGCTTGTCAGTAATTGTCAGTAGAGTACTTCTTATTTTGAAGAAAGGAATGAGGAAAGTGGTTTTTAATTCCATACATGTTTTCAATGGTCACAAAGGCAATTCCTTTTGTATTCAATCCCAGACAAACTTACACAATTCAGTAGAAGAATGGGACCAGGGAAATATTAATATTAACTGACTCTATAGAGGTTGAGTCCTTCAGACTTTAAACAAGAACATCTAATTTAGGAGTCTGTCTATTTTCACTGACTATACAATGGAACTAAGTTCCTATTTGTGGTACTTAGGTGCTTAAAAATAGGTATCTGCTCCCCACTAAATGGTGCCATTGACCTCCTTGCAGTAACAGAAGATCTCCAGCAGTCTACCCCTCAGCTCTTAAGCTGCTGCTCCACCTGTGCTTATACTCCACTGAAATTCCATGGGAGGTATATGTAGGAAGATAAACAGTGAATTCTGGTTCACATAAAAAAAAATCACTGCAATCCAGAGGAAGCATCTAGCCTATCTTGGATTTTTTATTGATATGCTGAAGAAAATTATTTCAAGGTTTATGGATTAAAATTTGTGATAGTTCATTATTATTTTATTTGGATTTCTTTTTTTACCTGCTATTATGATGCTCTGCCTGAACACCTGTATATCTTAATCCTGTAAGTTTATTTTAGCAGACTTTAGAAAGTCAGCCTTGCTGCCTAGAGCAGATAGGAGAAACTAAAAGGAAGTGTAATTTGGAAGAAGAAGGTTGGACACAAGAGTTATTATCCTTTCAGTTTACAACCTTTGAAATTATTCACATATGGGGAAAGCATGGAGGTGAATTCTGCAAAGCAAGCATTACACTATGTACCAGATAACCAGATGAACCTGGGATTTCAGCTTTGGATTTCTACAAGGCACAAAAGCTTAAAATCCAGTGAAAGATGGCTAAGAAAGCCTGTCCTGCCTCTGTGTCACAGGAATGAGGGGAGCAGGCTAACATGCTGGATCTTTCTCCCAAAGAAGCATTGCCTCAGCACTGTGCAGCTGACTGGATTTGTAGGTTTGCATGGTGAGGAGACTTTCTGACACTTCACCTGTGAGCTCTGTGTGCTATTTGTATCACACAGAGAGAAACATTTCCCTCGGGAGAGCTCCCATCCTCCAGGGGCTCTGCAGGGACAGAAGTTTCAGTGACAACACCCAGGGTGAAGGCTGAGCAGGAGGGCAGTGCCTGAGCAAAGGACCCATTCCATTCTCCACATCACTGCATGCTCCAGGCACAACATCCCACTGGATAACACCCATATTGTAGAAACACTTTTGTAAGTAAAGAACATGATGGAATATTTCTTTCCTCCATGGAGGGGTTGATACTCAATACATTTTTCATCACTGCGGAAACTCGGTGTTTCTTTATGGTTTGATTCTTGTCTACCTTAATCTTCCAAACACCAAAACGTGGCTCTGCCACTTGGAAATTCATACTAGGAGAGAAGTAAGAGCAAGTGATTTTAAAATTATCCAGAGGTGGAAGGCTAACTCTTATTTTTACCTTATTAGTTTTTGCTTGATTAAGTGAAAAACAGGCACTCTCAAAACAACTTAGAACTTACACAGGCATGGATGCCTTCTCATTGTCCAGGCTTCTTGGAAAAAAGAGTCATTCTTACACTTCTTGTTGCCTGTCATTCAATGTCATATATTCTTTATTACATTAACATATCAAAATTAAGTAGTCTTTTTTATCTGTCTCCGATCTATGGAACTCCTTCTTCCTAACTGCTTCATGATGATGCTATATTTTTAAAAAAGCTATTTTAATTTGGTAACAGCTTCAACATAGGTCAAAATACAGCTGCTAATGACATAAACATTTAATGGCATAAGTGTTTTCTATTTCTATGCATAATGTAAGTGGGCTGTGCAATTTAACACTGATTAACTACTAGTGAGCCATTTCCAAGAAGAAAAGTAAGAAAGATCTTCTAGTCATTTAAACCCTAGTTAGAACACAAGTGAGGAAACTCTGTT